GCCCAAGCAGGTCAGGGCAAACAGCACGCGAGACCAATTGGGCAGTTGCCCCAAATTTAGTCTGCACTTAGTCTGTAAGAGCCAGTGTGTTGCCATGGGGAAGAGTTCCGGACTAGAATTTGAGTCCTTGTTTACCCACGAAAACACACTGAGGGTGACAATGTTAAAATTGTTCCTAAAACATCTCACATACATGGGAAACCCAATTAGGGTTGCAATAAGTTGGAGGCGACTTGACAACACAGAACACCGTTTAATTCATAGATCTGCATCCAGACTTTTTTCCAGCATGCTTACAAGGGAATCCCCAGAATTCTCCATAGGAAAGACCAACCTAGCTGTGCTTAGTTTGAGATGAAGCGGTAGCCATAAATGTAAAGTTATAATGAAAACACAAGCCACACCCTGAATGACAATACTATTGGTGCACACATGTGACATTAATACTGTACAATCCAGATAATCAAAACCTGGCCACTTCAGAAGCAAAAAAACCTATCTGGCATGCTTTCTCAGGAAGCTGTATTAATGTAGTTTGATCCAGCTTTTGCCTGAGGCATATCCTCGTGGCATTATATGTACATTTGGGGTGTAAATTCATATCTCGTTTCAAACCAGTTTAATAGTCATGGCTGCCTTGCCAAGAAAACTGTAGCATTCTTGGTTTCTTTGTGGAGTTTTTTCTTTAAACTGTTTAATCTTCTTTTTAGAGATCTGTTGCCTTTTCAAAGAGAGTGTCCAGAAAGTTCCTAGGTAAAGGGACTTTTAAACTTGTAGCATAAATACATCTAGATCTCAAAAGAATTGTTGGATTGTGAGCTCATATGTTGCCACAAACTTTTTTGGTGGTGTAAGTGTGGCATACTTTTCCCTCCAAGAATGTTAATTTCCTGACATGTGAAAAGTACGGTATATCTGTTTATGCAACTACTCTTTACCTAGCCCAGTGTACTATCTGTCGGGGATTTGATTTGCAGAACTTCCTGTCAAGTCAGACTTAAATTGTGCTGGTGACTCAACTCAGATTCAGTCCCTCCCCCCAAATGACCTGGACTCAATTCAAGACTTGGAACCCACTCACCCCTCCTTTTTTTCCTGGGGGGGGGAAGGAGCCTCTCTGGAAAACAAGGCTGTCAAATACAGTAAACCCTGCACATAGCTGGAGTTTGGAATGGAAACTCTTTAGATTAGGGGTTGTTAAGTGGATGCCTTCCAGATGCTGCTGGATGGAAGTTCACATCTTCTCTTAACATTGACTAAGCTGGCTTGGGCTCATGGGATCTGCAGTCTAACTTCTGGAAGGCCACACATTGCTTTCTTGCGCGCTAAATGTTGAGCATAGCCTTATTTCTCCTATAGCAAGAGGTACTCTATGTTCTGAATAATTATTTTCATTATTGCTTTTAAATAAACTTATATGTGCCAAGGCTGAGCACTGACCCTAAAAAAAAGGTCAATTGGTTCAGAGGATTTTAATTTAGCAAGGATCAAGACAAAAACCAAATCACTACAGTCCGGACTTGCCCAAACCCCATGTGGGTATGAAATCAATAACAAAATCCCCCCCACCTTTTTAGACCACTGGTTTAATACCGACATATATCCTATGAGTGCAGACGGAGAGAAATATCCATCAAATAGCCAGACAGCTATAAAAGTCAATAAAAATAAATGTTGGAAGGTACTATTACAAAACAGCTATTTTCACAAGTATGGCTAGTCCCCGTTTCTGAGAAAAGCAGGTGGGTGAAACTAAAACACAGCTTCACCAAGAACCTGAGTGCCAGACAGAGCTGGTTTTGGCCCCCAAAAAACAGCAGCCACTTTCAATCCATAAATCTCTTTCCAAAAGCTCACCCATATAATTTCCTCAAATTACCCACAGGTGATTATATACTGCATTCCACAAAATATATTCCCACAAACAGGAAATTTACCCCCAAGTCACAAACAAGATTCACATACCCCAAGGGGCAAATGCACTCCTTATCTCTAGATTATTACATCTTTGTTTCACATACTTATACACATGCCATTCACAGACAGGCAGTCAGCTGCATCCTATTTATCATCTCACAAGCACAGGGATGTGTTATATCCTGCCTTTACTCTCATAACCTCAGGGCTGTGTACAGGGCTCCTCCCTCCACTTGATTCTCACAACAACCCTGTGAGGTAGGTAAGCTAAAATTGACTGGCCTAGGATCACACCATGAATTTTATTGCAAAGTTAGAAGATTGACTCAAATCCCCCAAGTCCTGATCCAGCATTGTATCTCTTAGACACGTCTCTTGTGTTACCCCACCCAAATGATTGGAGAGGCACCCAAGCCAAGAAATAATTAAATAATTAAAAAACAGACAAAGGGGTGTGCATTATTGGGTAGATAGGAAGTTTCTGCAGGGAGTTGCCATTTTCAAAATTTTCTGCTTGCTTAAAATGGGAAACTGTTTCTGAAAATCCAGCTATGTCAGCAGTTTTCCATCTGGGAGGTCTAGTGCTGGGCAGAGCGACATCTGTTGAACACCTGCATGATGGTTGCTCTTAAAGCCACAGAAGCCCTGAAAACAGTAGCCAAGGTGTGATAACAGTGTTGTCCAGACTCTCTGTGATAAGTCTTCTGGCCCTACATTGGCAATCCATGCTTATGTATTTTAAAGAGGCCTCGACAGCCATCTGGTGGTGTTCTGGACTAGGATTCATAAATATTCTGTTCCCAGGACCTAGAGACCTCCCCTGTCTGTGGTGTAACACCAGTAATGCTTTTCTTTCTCAACAGGATTTTGCAACCAGAAGCGTGTGCATGCCTTTCCCACTTGCACAGCATTCTGGTTTTCTTGGAGGTGTGCAGTATTTTGCAAACTGGAAGAAGAGGACTGGAATGGTACTCGTGTAATGGCACCTACTGGCAGTAATTTGCACAATGAAGTTTCTCGCTCAGCAAGTAGCATAAATAAACTTATGACCTTTTTTTGGGGGGGGCAAGCAGCCCCGTGCTTTTAAAGAGCTGGGAGGCAGAAATTCAACAAGTCCAACTTTCACAAATCATGGCTTAGGAAAAGGTTAATCAGGTAAATGTTTCTCTTCCCTCCCCTATTTGTCTGTGCTTCCTTTCTACTCTTTCTGTAAGCCAGACCTGGGCAAAGTGCGGCCCTGGGGCCACATACGGCCCGCGAGCCACTCCTGTCTAGCCTGCGGACAGTTTTGAACATCAAAATCATTTATAGATTTTTGTCTAAAGTTGATCAGTTGCTTATCTTTAGCATACTGCAAAAAACCTCTTTAATATTTGTGAAGATTAACAAGTTTAAAATAAAAACAAATATAACATCACTGTTTCATTTTATTTTTAAGTAAAGTTGGTTCGGCCCCCAAACACAGTTCAGATTTTTCATGTGGCCCCCCTATAGAAATTAATCGCCCACCCCTGCTGTAAGCTCTCCTCAGAGGAAACCTGTTTCATTCTTTACAGAGTGCTTAGCAGAACTGAAAATGTTCAATGAATTTATGAAAGAAAGATGGATATTAACAGCCATTTTAACAGCCTTCTGCCCGGATTGCAGTTGCTGAAGGGACAAAAGCCCTGTGTAGGGGAGACCGGAAAAGCTTCCAGAAACCATAATTGCTAAGGTTGCCAACTTTCCAGCTGGCTCATTTTTACACAGCTTTGTTCTGCAGACCTAAGCAGGTGACAACATTAATCTCCATGCCATTGCACATTTAATGAGTGGTCAAGTTGCCTCCTGTTTATGGGGTCTGTGTGAAAAATGAGTGATCTCCAAAAGACCCTCAACAGTCTTGCTCAGTTCTTGCAAACTCTAACTTGTGGCTTCCTTTAGGGAGTCAGCCCATCTTGTATTTGGTCTTCCTCTTTTCCTGCTGCCTTCCCCCTTTCCCAGCATTATGGGCTTTTCCAGACAACCCTGCCTTCAGTGCCCAAAGTAGGACTGGTTCAGTTTCAACATTTTTTTGACTCCAGAGATAATTCGGGCTCGATTTGATCTAGGACCCCCTTGTTGGGTCTCTCTGGCTGTTGCGGATGTCCGCAGAGTCCTCTCCTCCAGCGCCACCTTTGAAACAAATCAGTTTTATTCCTGTCAGGTATCTTTACTGTCCAGCCTTCATGCCCGTACATGATTATTTATTTACTGAGCTTATATTGATGACTAAAAACCCAATAGTGTGGATTATTTTGGTCCTAATTTCCAGGGACAAATCCTTACACTTGATGATCTTTTCCAGTTTCTTCATGGCTGCCCTTCCAAGTCTTGGTCTTCTTCTGATTTCTTGGCTGGCAGCCCCCATTTGGATTGAAGCTGGACAAAAATCTTTCACTATTTCAATTTCTTGATGGCCAGGGCCATGATTTTTGTTTTCTTAATGTTTAACTGCCATCCTGTTTTGGCACTTTTCTTCAGCCATCGTTTGCCGTCCTCACCGCTTTCTGCCCCTCGGATGGTGTCGTCGTCTGCCAGTCCTCAATGACTGATGTTTCTTCCACCCATTTTCACTCCTCCTGACTCTGAAGCCAGTCTGCCCTTCTATAACCCTGTGTTCTGCATACAGATGGAACAGCGAAAAGGGGAAGCCTTTGCAGAAGAGATGCCTTGGTGGTTTTGACCAGATAAAGCATCCGCCAGACGCTCCCGTGGATGTGCTGATTTCTGCAGTTCGTCAGGAGGGTAGTTAATTTTTTAAAATTATTTTGTGCCTGTCTGTGGACAGCCTTTCCTGCTGAGACCTTCACGGAGGCCCACCTACCACAACGCCACTTTGGGCCTGGGGGCAAACCATGTTGCCCCCCCCTCTCCCCAAAGGGCTGTGGGGCCCCTTACAGCCTGGAGAAGGAACCCGCGCCTCTCCCTGGGCCTCGGTTGCTAAGGGCCGGGCGAGATGCTCCTGTTGCCTAGCAACCGTCCCCGCGCGGCCTGGGTTGCCCGGGAGGGCCAGAGCGATCGCTCCCGTCGTGCTTGGGGAGAGGCGGCCGTTGCCATGGCTACGGACGCAAACAAAATGGCGGCGCCCAGTCTGGCCGGCCGGGAGGGCGGCGGAGGGGTTGTGCAAGCGCGGGGCGAGTAGGAAACGGGGCACAGCCAAGCCAAGGGGGAGGTCGGCGGTTGACCCTAGCCCCCTTCCCCACAACCGGCCTCATGGCCCACGGGGAGCTGGACGAGGAGACCCTCAACGACCTCTACAGCTGGGTGGACGCCATCCCGCTCTCCCGCCCCAAGAGGAACATCGCCCGCGACTTCAGTGATGGAGGTGGGCGGATGGGAAGGGGGGGGGGAGGAGGAGGAAAAAGTGGAGGGGGT